AAGAAGAAGAAGAAGAAGACAATAATGTCGTTCATAGATGACGTCACGACACGAACTCTTTCTGTCGCACATTGTTGAGGTCACAATAGCGTCGCCATTTTCGCTGCTCTTTGTGCGCCTCCGTCTGCTAAGTCTCTCTTGCTTTTAGCACGGTTTTCGTCGACTTTTTAATTCACATTTGTTGACAAAACATGCAAGGCTACAGAGGCCCCCAACAGAACCACGGCCCCAACCGTCCGGGGAACCACCTCAAAGGCGACGGGCCCAACAGCAACGGACAGCAGCCGGAGCCTAGCGAGCAGACCAGCCTCAACGCGGGCTTGACGCTGGACCCGCAGAGCTTCAGAAAGCCCGGAGAGAAAACCTTCACCCAGCGGAGCAGGTTGTTCGTGGGGAACCTGCCCACCGGAGTCACCGAGGAGGAGCTGGTCAAGCTGTTCGCGAAGTACGGGAACGCCAGCGAGATCTTCGTCAACAAGGACAGGGGTTTCGGATTCATCCGCCTGGAGACCAGGATCATCGCTGAGATCGCCAGAGCGGAGTTGGATGATTTCGTGTTCAAAGGCAGACCCATCCGGGTGAGGTTCGCCACACACGGCGCCGCTTTGTCCATTAAAAACCTCCCAGAGTTTGTGTCCAACGAGCTCCTGGAGGAGGCCTTCTCCGTCTTCGGCCAGATAGAGAGGGCTCTGGTGATCGTGGATGACCGGGGCAGGCCCACGGGGAAAGGCATCGTGGAGTTTACCGCGAAGCCAGCCGCAAGGAAAGCTCTGGACAAGTGCAACGACAGCGCCTACCTCCTCACAGCGTTCCCCCGGCCCATCACCGTGGAGCCCATGGAGCAGTTCGACGAGGACGAGGGTCTGCCGGAGAAGCTGATCAATAGGAATCAACAGTACCACAAGGAGCGCGAACAGCCCCCGCGGTTCGCCCAGCCCGGCTCGTTCGAGTACGAGTACGCCATGCGCTGGAAGGCCCTGATGGAGATGGAGAAGCAGCAGTACGAGATGGTCGACCGCAACATGAAGGAGGCGCAGGAGAAGCTGGAGGCCGAGATGGAGGCGGCCAGACACGAGCACCAGGTGATGCTGATGAGGCAGGACCTCCTGAGGAGACAGGAGGAGTTGCGGAGGATGGAGGAGCTCCACAGCCAGGAGGTGCAGAAGAGGAAGCAGGCCGAGCTGAGGCAGGAGGAGGAGCGCCGGAGGAGAGAAGAGGAGATGAGGCTGCGCAACGAGGAGATGATTAAGAGGCAGCAGGAGGGCTTCAGGGGCGGCTTCCCCGAGAACAGAGAGCAGGAGATGAGGATGCACATGGGGGGCCACGGCATGTCTATGAACAGAAATTCCCTGGGTGGGAACTCGGGTGCCGCCGGCGCTGCTGGCATGGCCGCCGAGAGCGCTCCTATGATGGCGGGCTCAGGTAGCGGCAGCCTGCCCGGAGGGGGCCAGGGCGGCTTCCCCAGAGGGCTCCCCGGCCCCGGAGACTATAACAAGCAGCGCAGATTTTGAATCACATGTCTGTAATTTTTTTTCCCCTCATTTTTCAGCTCACTGTATGTTAAAGTTTAAGGTAGTGGATGTTACCCTTGAACTTTTAAAAAAAACTTTTTTTGTACTTTTATTTTGGTGTTTTTTGAGTCGTTTCAGTACTGATGCGTTTTTCCAAATGAGCCATTCATTTTACTTTTTTCTTAATTTTTTTTGTAGGGTAGATAATGTTTTTGGTCCTGAATATGTTACATTTTCTGTAATAAATTCATAATTCCTTAAAATAAAAAAGAAAGTGTTTTATTCAGGATAGAAAAGCTTCACAGCACAATGGTGGCTAATATTTTTCAGCACACACCAACAACCTTACTTTTAATAACTACACTTTTTAGGGTGTTACAATTATCTGTGTGGTCTGACTGGCTGATCCTCAAACAGATGCCAACTCTTTACAGTTTCAGAAAATACATAAAAGTTGTCAAAATGTCTCAGTGTGAATCAGCGTATCGGTCACTACAAAACGTCAAAAGCAGACAGCTCCTTTTCCTACTTACATTTTGTATAAAAGGGCACAAAAGCTTAGAGATGCTGCTGATTCTTGACTGGAGATTGTCAAAATCACAGATGTCACACAGGTGAAAAAAATGTACTGCTAATTATATTATGACACATAGATTTGAATCCAAGAGAAATTTTAATTTGAATAAACTGATCATCCACATCTATGCATTAAAGAGAATGTCCTTGTAGTTTATCTGATTTGTTATTAAATGCAGAAATGTGCACAAAAGCTGTTTGGCTGATGAGTTTATTCACAAAAGCTGTCATGAATACTGGATGCATCTAATCAACAAGGGAAAGAAAATTTATTTTTTTACATATTTGATCTATGAAGTGAAAATTGACTGTAAGAGACTCTTGTAGTGAAATTTAATAGTTCCCTGGTTTTAATGACAATATTGCAAAAATAGTTTGAAAAAATGTCCAATTTCTTCTAATTTACCAGAAAAGCAACAATTGTCCCAACTGCTGTTAAAATATATGTATTGAACATGAAGGAGTCTTTATGAATGTTTATGACTGTTGGCATGACATTTCATTTAGTAAATAATGACACTTCTAATGCAAAGTTGCTCCAAAAGCTGTATTAAAAGTGCCAACTTTGCATTGTTTTGTAAATAATGACTCTTTAATGCACAGTTGGCACTTTGAAGGCAACTTTTAGAGCAACTTTGCATTAAAAGTGTCATTATTTACTAAATGACACTTGATGACAACTGTCATAAACATTCATAAAGACTCCATGTTTATGATAGTGTCATGTCGGTCTTATGCACGCCCGTCAAATAAAGTGTTACCCACTTATGTTACTCATAACAGATATTTGTATGTTGATACATAAACGTAAGACAAAATGTAGATTTAACTGATTTTAACAGCAAATGTAAGGTAAAAAAAAAAAAAAAAAAGCTCATTGGACAGAATCGTATGCCTTGAAGATTGTACCTGTGAGTTTCCTGTGAAAGTGATGGAACCTTCTTTCAGCCAGCTGATGAACAGGGTGCCGTGACAGAAGAGTAAGAGATTGCGATGCATTATTATTTCCCTTAAAATGAAAGAATCACATGGAACAAAAATCCTCTTGCCCTTTTGAAACATAACTTTTCTAAACCATAGCTTACCCTGACACTGCTGGCGTAAAATCACTCTAGGTTGTCACGAGTTACAGTATGTTGTTATCTCATTGCAGCGCAAGTTCAAGTTGTTAGCAGAAATAAAAGCTGAAAAAGCCTCATCTAAAAAACGAGATGCACAAACTACATACAGTGTGGCTTTAATTAGAGCTGAACAATATAGCAAATCAGTGTTTGCATAAATCTAAAGCACAGCTTGGAAGCAATTTATGGGAGGATCTTTTTCTTTCTCCGTTTGATATAAAGTGTAATAAACATCAGAGTATGTTCATACTTCACTTGTTGAGCGGTCGGATGGAGTCACTGCTCTGGATGCTCACTCCTGGCATTTAATGATCAAGATGATGAAGACAAGAGTGAAGGAAAATGAAGTTTCTTCACAGTTCGTATCATCGTCGCAATATGCAACACTAACATCATCTGTTCAAGTTTTCCTAACATCACATTCTTACGCAGTTATTCATTACAGATTCTTATTCTTATTTTTTGTTTTTATATTTCAACCTGTGTTCGTTTGCATGACTCCATTTTGTCTGTCACTTTTATGTTTTTTTGTTTAAATCTCATGAAGAAAATGAATTTTTATTTTCAAGAAAAACCTATTCCAACCTTTGCTGCTAGTACACCTGAATTTCCCCACAATAAAGGACAATAAAGGATATTTCCATTTTCTATTCAGTTCCTTTTCAGGCTTTTGTGTAAAATACAAAAGTTTAATGCAAATGCACAGTATAAACAGGTAAGAAAACTAAAGGAAGGAAATTACTCCTCCTTAAGTGGCAAATTAATTGCTTTCCCTGAACGCTATAAAACGGATCTAATTACAGTAAGAGATAATTATAGCATACATTTATTACGGTCATACAATAGTTTTATATGTCGTTTCTGATGTTTTTATTTTATATGTCCGATAGTGAAGATGGCGCTATCAACCTGTTATCTGAGTCCAAGAAGTCAGCTTGGCTTGTGATGCAGCCAGAGCAATGAGAGCGCTCCATAAATAAAAACCGATAAGGGAGCGACAGTAAAGAGGGGAAAGTGTTATCTGAGCGTCGATCTGTGAGTTCAAAAACAATTCAGAGGAGCATTTCTTGTGACGCTCTGAAACCTGACGGACAGGATCCATGATTCCTCTATGGCTTTCAAACACCTACCGACTAAACCGCTGCTGAGAGCTATGAAAATAGGTCATCTTCAAGTGCAACAATGTGTTTTATTTGTATTTATCTAATATGTGGTATATTACATATTCATATAATGTATTTTTATTGTGTTACAGAAGGAAACGGAATGAGTTGTTGCTGCTTTTCAAGTGCAAAACAACACTATATTTACCATGAGAAATACGCAAAACAGTATACAAATCATATTGTTTATTCTATCTATTTCATATTAAAAGCTTGGTTTTTGGTAAGACGGAAACTTTTAAGATAAAATAACATGTCGTTGGATGGATATGTTGTTTTGTAATTGTTGCTTGTTATTAATTTTCATAGATGTCACAGAAGTAACTCATGTTTTCCCCTCACCCTTTGTTTCTGCCATCTCTACTGCCACACGTTGTAGTTATCTTAAAACAGAAGATCATCAAAGTGAAATTTCTCCAGATTAAAATTAAATTTATGCACTAATGAATGAGATTTCCTCAGATTAAAAGGAAATTTATACATTAATGAATGAGTTTCTGTCTGTAAATATTTGAACTCAAAGCACGTTCATTCAATGTAATCTAAGCGTACTTAGTAAACTTTCGCACAAATAGATTAAAACACATGACTGCCAGAAACATTCATTTATTCATAACAGACAAAATTTATTCATAGAGAATGATTTATTTATTTATTTACTTATTTAAGGTTTTGTTTTTTTTGAGGGGGGGGGGGGGGCTTAGTAAAACAAAAACGTTAATATAACCAGTAAGGAGCTAAACTTTCCTGTCCTGATTTTAATTCATTGAAACTTTCTTCAAAGTTATTTACATATTGTTTTGGAAGGATCCATTGCACTTTTTCATTCAGCTAAAGTTAATGTTGAACTTTTTATTGCTATTTTATTGCACCTTTAATTGTTTTATCAGTGATTTAAAACATAATACATTTTTAGCATAATGTGGATTTGCTGAAACTCCTGGTAGAAATAACACCCTGAATGAATTAAATTTCCTCTCAGTAGCACAATCTCACACTGAAACTGCATTGTGGTTCTCCGGGATGAACAGCAATAATTAAATGAGCTCTTTTTTTTTTTTTTTTTGACAATTGTCTTTTGTATCTTCTGTGGCTGTATTTTGTTGTATGATGCAAAGCCCTTTGAACTGCCTTGTTGTTGAAATGTGATATGCAAATAAATTTGATTGATTGATTGTATATCTGCTAATATGGCATTTAAGTAGAAATTGCAGTTTCACTAAACCCACATTTCTGTATTACATATTTTTAATGTTGTGATGTAACATTCTAAGCTTAAATGTCACATTTTCGGCAGCTGTGAGCAGAAAATGATCATAGTTAACAGAAATAGAGGCTAATGAGCTTCAGTTTGTGTGTAATTTACCCATAAAATGTGTTTCCAGTCGTGAACCGAGTTACTGAAATAAATCATCTTCTTAATAATGTTGTATTTGTTGAATGGGTCTGTATGTGAAGTGACACAGAGCCAATTTCTCTTCAACACTTCCATCATGAAGACGGGAAAGACAAGAAAACACATCGTTGAAATAAGGTGGATGTTCTTCATGTTTGTTACAGCAACTCACCGAATGCAGTAACACTTAAAGCTTTTAAAGACTTTCACAACGTACAGATGTAGAAGAGTGGGGAAAAACTATTTTAATAAATCTGAAATTAATTTGTTTTTGTTAGTGTTGCCAAAGTGTGTAGAGAATAGTAAATGTAAAACATAGTGTGTGATATTTTTAGTTTATGTCTTGGCGGCAGAGCTACTAGCATTTCTAAAACAGCATTTATTTTAAATGTAAAATGAACAGCTAATTCGTCTTTCACTCAGAGTTTAATGCTTTCTTCTGAGAAAGTGTTGAAAAGCATTGATGTTACTCGGCTTTCCGACCAGAAACAAAGAAAAAGGAAGTCCTTAGATTAGAAGAGTTAGAACATGCTGACCGTCTGTCTTGTGTTTATTGATGTTTTATCTGTTCTTGTCCAGATTTATCAGTTTTATTATCCTCCTATTTTGGCTTTGAAGTAGTAAGACCATATATATCTGAATTCATATCATATCAGTTTCAATTCATATCAGTATTAATTGTACTATTTATCTATTTTTTTAATTGATTGGTTCTTTTTGATACGCTAAAAAATAAAACACAGGAAAAACATAAATCTCAGCTCCAGATAGATGATACCCAGAATGCTCAACTGTAAACTTGCAAGCTAAAGAAAGCATAAGCTAACAAATCCACTAGTCCAGTGGTACCCAAAGTCGGTCCTCGAGGGCCGGCATCCTGCATGTTTTAGTTCTCTCCCTGCTGGAAATAACAACCTTTTCAGCATGTCAATGTTCTTCTTAGGCCTCTGATGAGCCATCATTTGATCCAGGTGCGCTAAACCAGGGACAGAACTAAAACACGCAGGATGCCGGCCCTCGAGGACCGACTTTGGCCAGCGCTGCACTAGTCATTATGTCTCTTTCTCCCTGTAAAGAGGAAATATTCAGAATAAGTCACTCTCGAACCAGAATTGAACACGTTCCATCGATCAGCTTTTCGCAGCAGTTCAGACTCTTTGTCAGATCCAACGAGATCCTGCCATTATTTTTGTTTATTCTCCGCTTTGAACTCTGCATGCTGCTCTCTGCAATAGCATTTTGCGTGAGCGTGACAAATTGCAAATTTCTCCCTTTCTGCAACTTATCAGCAAGCGATAAAGCAGAGAACATCCCTCTATCTGCCTTGATTCCCCTTGTCTCCTCAGCATCTGCTTTCAT